CCAGGTAGACACCGTGCTGGAACTGAAGACGTTGGCCAACTCTGCTGAACCTGAGTCCCCAGTGTCCCAATCTGCGCCTTGTCTTGTAGACAAGTCTGGCCCGGCGGCCCCCGAGAGGCCTCCCCCTCCAGAGAGGATAGCCCCTCTAGGCCCACAAGGGCACCCCATAGCAAGAGGAGTCCCTGGAATGCCCGTCGGGGCCAGCATTGGGAGGATGCTGACGCGTTGTGAGTCACCACGTTGCGCCTAGCCTGTCCTGAGTCTGACTTGCTCCCAGGCGCTGGCCGCTGAACAGAAGTGAAGCGCAGAAAACACTCAACCGTGACGAAGAACTCTCGATCGCACTGGCTTCGTAGCAGCCGGTGGCAGTCCACTGTGCCGTTGAAGGAAAAACTAGTGCTCGAAGAAGACTGCATGAGAATACCAGACGATCCGTGTCCTTCTTGCGGAGGTGTACCAGTTAAAGCGCAAAACCAGAGCGCCAGCAAAACTGCGCAGGAGAGACCTTGAGCTGTACCTGGGTGTCTTGTCGTGTAGCTGGAAAGTCGAAGAGAGGAGCGGAACGAGGCCTCAACTCGAAAGCTTCCTTCAGGATACCCAGGTGCAGAAGATGGCCAACCCATGACTGGGGCCGCCCCTTGAATGGCTTGGTGCGGCAGGTCCTTTTGTAAATGTAAAAGCATCGGCAGGAGAAAAGCACTGAGGCACAGTCGACGCGCCTTCCGCTAGTTTCGCCGGAAAGAGAGAACTCGATCCGACTCCCTTCACCCCGCGGAAAGGTGAGAACCCTACCGCTTACCTCTTGCCAAAGTTGTATAACTGCAGACAGAGGCCCGGGAATTGCGACCCGGTAGAACACAGCGGCGCGCGGCTCCGGGAATAGCTATGGCTCAATAAGAGGACAGTCCCTTAAGCTTCGCAGAAGGAGGCTCTAGCGTTGGTACCCAGAGCCTTGTTAGCAATGCTACACAGCCTGCTGTGATCCATAGCGGCTACAACAACAACAACAACATCAACAACATCAACAACAACAGCAACAACATCAACAAGAACAATAACAAGAACAACCCAACGACAACAACGACAACAACGACAGCAACAACAACAACAACAACAACAAGAAGAACAACAACAACAACGACAACAACACCAACAGCAACAGCAACAGCAGCAACAACAGCAACAGCAACAATTTATTGGACGCTGAGCGAGCGGGCTCTGCTCATTGCGGGCGAGCAGAAACTTCGGAAGCGTGCCATCCCCGAGTGTGCCGTGAGCCAGCGCCACCGAGGTGAGCCATAAGCCAGCACCACTCCCTTAGAATCTGACCTGCCGACATTCTTATAGAGGTTACGCGGTCTTCGCCCGGCGGCCTTGTAAAGAAAAAGAAACAGACTGGCGCTTTGCGCGAGGGGACTGCCCATGCGAAAATCGCAGGTACCTCCTTCATCCGTTTCTGAGAACTACGACCGAAGTCAGGCCCCGAGGCCTCGCGTAAAACAAGCCAAAACGAACTGACCTAACAAAACCAACAGAGAAGACCGCGCAACCCCTATAGGATCCTCAGTGAAGGAAAAAGAGGAGCCGATGCTACAAACGTTAAAAGAGAAAGGGCCTAAGTCAAGAAGAGCAGCGCTGCAGACTGTACACAGCAGCAACAGCTCTTGGGCACCAGCCTCTAGGGGATAGGCCACAAGAAGTTGACTTCAGTTACAAAGGCGTTGCCCGTTTTTTTACGCGAGCGATGCCCGAAACTCCTAACGTGACAGCCCGACTCACAAAGTCGTCGTCATGTAGCCTCCGTCACCCTCAGTGTGAGTCATTGCGTCCAATACTCACGAACTGGCAGCCGGTGGGTCGTACTCAGAAGAGCCGTCTCCCAGAGTTCCCGTCTAGTGGCGTCCCACACTAGGTAACTCCCGACTACCAGCGATGGGCCGTAAGGATAATTCGTCGTCAAGCAAAAACACGTGGGCCGTCACTCCTAGCACTGCCTGACCCCGTCGGTAACAGGACAGTAACGAACACACCTGGGAGGGCCGTAGCCGTAGCCCGACACCCATAGCACAGCAAGCGCGTCCGCTTAACGACTGTACCCAGATGTGACGTGGAGCCGTACCAGGTAGACACCGTGCTGGAACTGAAGACGTTGGCCAACTCTGCTGAACCTGAGTCCCCAGTGTCCCAATCTGCGCCTTGTCTTGTAGACAAGTCTGGCCCGGCGGCCCCCGAGAGGCCTCCCCCTCAAGAGAGGATAGCCCCTCTAGGCCCACAAGGGCACCCCACAGCAAGAGGAGTCCCTGGAATGCCCGTCGGGGCCAGCATTGGGAGGATGCTGACGCGTTGTGAGTCACCACGTTGCGCCTAGCCAGTCCTGAGTCTGACTTGCTCCCAGGCGCTGGCGGCTGAACAGAAGTGAAGCGCAGAAAACACTCAACCGTGACGAAGAACTCTCGATCGCACTGGCTTCGTAGCAGCCGGTGGCAGTCCACTGTGCCGTTGAAGGAAAAACTAGTGCTCGAAGAAGACTGCATGAGAATACCAGACGATCTGTGTCCTTCTTGCGGAGGTGTACCAGTTAAAGCGCAAAACCAGAACGCCAGCAAAACTGCGCAGGAGAGACCGTGAGCTGTACCTGGGTGTCTTGTCGTGTAGCTGGAAAGTCGAAGAGAGGAGCGGAACGAGGCCTCAACTCGAAAGCTTCCTTCAGGATACCCAGGTGCAGAAGATGGCCAACCCATGACTGGGGCCGCCCCTTGAATGGCTTGGTGCGGCAGGTCCTTTTGTAAATGTAAAGGCATCGGCAGGAGAAAAGCACTGAGGCACAGTCGACTCGCCTTCCGCTAGTTTCGCCGGAAAGAGAGAACTCGATCCGACTCCCTTCACCCCGCGGAAAGGTGAGAACCCTACCGCTTACCTCTTGCCAAAGTTGTATAACTGCAGACAGAGGCCCGGGAATTGCGACCCGGTAGAACACAGCGGCGCGCGGCTCCGGGAATAGCTATGGCTCAATAAGAGGACAGTCCCTTAAGCTTCGCAGAAGGGGGCCGTTGCGAGGCTCTAGCGTTGGTACCCAGAGCCTTGTTAGCAATGCTACACAGCCTGCTGTGATCCATAGCGGCTACAACAGCAACAACAACAACACGTCTTTCTGACAACAAGAACAACAACAACAACAGCAGCAGCAACAGCCACAACCACAACCACCACGACAACCACAACAACAACAACAACAGCAACAACAACAAGAACAACTACCACGACGGCAACGACGAGGACGAGGAGGACGACGACGACGACGATGACGAGGATGTCGACAACGACACCAAAAATCAACGACACAAGACAGAAGATTTGAAATTGTAATCCCGCAATATTCACACGCGAAATACGACCCTGCAAATTGTAGTGCTCCAATAGCTTCATGCAAGACACAAGCAAAACCAGACCCTGCGAATGCTAGTTCCCCATTAGCTTGATGGAAAGCACAAACAATAAAGGCTAATAAAGGACTCTGCAAATTGTAGTTCCCCAATAGCTTGATGCAAAACACAAACAAAGCCGCAAATTGTAGTTCCCCATTAGCTTGATGCGAAACACAAGCAGAAGAACACACCGCAAATTGTAGTTCCCTAATAGCTTCATGCAAAACACAAGCAGAAGAACACACCGCAAATTGTAGTTCCCTAATAGCTTGAAGCAGAACACAAGCAGAAGAAGACCCTGCGAATTGTAGTTCCCCAATAGCTTGATGCAAAACACAAGCAACACCGATCCCTGCAAATGCGAACTCCCCAATAGCTTCATGCAAAACACAAAGAAAACCGAACCCTGCAACTTGTGGTTCCCCAACAGCTTGATGCTAAACACAAGCAAAATCAGACTCCGCAAGTTGTAGTTCCCCAATAGCTTCATGCAAAACAGAAGCAAAACCAGAGCCGTCAAATTCTAGTTCCCCAATAGCTTGATGCCAAATAGAAGCAAAGACTGCAGTTGCCGCTGTTTGCAACCACAACCAGTGGACCAGACTTAGGAAAGCAAGCCGGGGCGGACCAGACCTAGGAAAAAAAAACCGTTACGCCCCTCCGGTGCTTGATCCGTTTGATGATGATGATGGTGATGATGAAGCTGATGGGAATCCTTTACTCAGCAACTGGCGATGCTGCTCTTGGCGAGCATGGGCACCGTTTTTCACATTGCGATGTCGTCGCTTTTGTTGTTCCTGTCGTGGGTCTTGGATTGCGGCCGCGAGTCAGAGCAGGACGTCTTCTGGACAGTCTTTGCCCTCAGCCGTGGAAAACCTGAGCAGCATCTTGGTCTGAACGATTGCTGCAGACTGACAAAAGTAGTGGGATTGTCCTGAGCATGCATGCCGCGAGTTCTATCACGACTGTTGTGCGGCTTTCGAACACAATGTGCCTGTTGGAGCCAGCGACACACGCAGGGCACCTACTCTCATGGACTGGGCTGCAACCCACCCTGACATTGCAAGACTGGTTGGTGGCCAGGACCACATGGAGTAGATCTTGTCAGCTGGGGGCATGAAACATCGAAGCTGTATGCTGCACGAGAGGATCCAGATGAAAAGCTCGGCTTTTTCACCGAATGCGGCAGAGATTGGTCTGAGCAGCGGAAGTTGGCACAAAGCCCGAAAGGGTCAGCCAAACCTGGCTAGGCCGTTTGTATTGCGTAACCCGACACGAAGCACTGGTTCAAGGTTTACGTTAGACTTCATTGCTTCATCGTCTGTTTCACTCCAGGTTCTGTGACCAGGACCTGCATGTTCGGTCAAATTATACCCAGGAGATCAAAACGGAACGCGACAGTTGCGATCCAGACGGTTTTTTCTACACGGTTCCTCAACAATGAGTCTGAGGTGAGAACTTGCGCTGGTGCAGCTGCTTACTGGCTCGAACGTTGATTTACTTGAGCGAGCCAGAGCGGCAGGCTGGGACAGGCGGCATCGACGCGTTGGCGTTGCGACTCTGCAGCCGACAGTGATGCGCGTTGACGCTGCTGAATTTGTGCCCCTCGCTGGATCCTCCAGCGCTGATGGCTCCTGGATCCAGGGCAGCTCTCACCCGGCAACGTCAAGCTCTCAAGCCCCGTGTTTCGCAGAGCCCACAAAGCTGCTCTCGGCTAAGGTTCGGGGGAGCTGAAAACGGACTGTCTGCAGACAGTCCTGCCTTTGTTCCTGGCGCACAGGACAGGGCGGTGGAAAGTTTTTGACACGCATGTGGCTGCATCCTTCCCATCGCATGTCTGAGGATGTATCGTGGCAGGCGCCGCCTTGGGAGGTAGGGTGAGAGCACACAGGAAAACAAGAAATCTGCCTGCAGCTCCACTTTACGCGAAAGGTGTGGCACGGCCAGGACTACACCGCTCCAGTGCCAGAGTAGCTTCCCTTGAGGATGCGCAGCAATGCCAACCGTCGAACCTCGGGATGCTACCAAGACGCATCTAAGGTACGACGCACCAGAGACAGAGAGCACGGAAGCAGCGCCGATCGTGTACGTGGACGAGGCCTCCCGTCTCATGGCCTCAAGCGAGCTCGCCAGAGTCGTGACCGTGTGAGCAGGAAACGTTCCTTACACCTCAGCTCTTGGACGAGATACCGGAGCAAGTACACTCACTGCCTTTGTCCCCGAAGCTCCTTGAACGCAAGGTAAGAGTACCGGCAGGGGGTCCCACCCGGTTCAACACCTCCCCGTGTTTGTTCGCTCTCCCTTGCTTTGCTGTGTCCGTGCAAGTCAGAGTCCTGAACCAGCCCTTCCATGGTAAATGGCTACAGTTCTCGGCTCGAAACACTGGCCTTCAGCTTCGTTACCTCCCTCTCATCCTCTCTCTTCTCTCCCATTCTCCTAGTCTCCAGGGCGCGTGTGCGTGACTAGAGTAACAGTGTGAGACGATGATTTCAGGGCATTCTGCCCGCACGGAGGAAGCTGAACGGGTCCCCCCAGTCTCCCTCAGCCAGGCTACTACCGTTCCTTTCGGAATAACAGCACGAGGGCTTCCCGCTGACACAGCTGCTGACCATAGCATTGAGGTAGACGATGAAGGGGACCATGAGGGGCCATCCGGAGACCGTACCCCCTCTCCTGACTCAAATGCCGCCGGAGGAATTGGCGAAGCACCGGTATCGACCGGGCCTGTCCCGGTACCTGCCAGGAGCCGTGATAAATCCTCGAGGGAATCGCTGGAGGAGCACATTCCAGGACCGAAGACAGCGATCACGGCTGGAGGACAGGTCGGACATCATGTCAGTGCCTTGGAGAGTCTTTTGGTCAAGAAGAACGACAGAGAAAGCTCGGGTAGCGACTCTTCGACCCGAAAACCTCCCCCTTCGAAACTCGCCAGACTCGAGGCCCCAGGTTTCGGTGGCCCAAACAGGCGTGGAGGAGGCCCAGAGTTTTTCGACATCGATCCAGATTTCTCAGTCAAAAAGGAAGACAACGACGACGAATTGAAGAGTGCTGCCCCCCCTGTCCTAACGACAGGGCTCCGGTCTCGGAGAGAACGTGAGAGAGAGCGAGCCACGCCCTATGATCAAGAGACCCCCCCTTGGGTGGCAGCCTTGGAAGGCAGACTCCTCACGCAACTTGAACCTATCAAGCAGGACGTTTCAGATATGAACGTCCGGCATCTCGACATGCATCGTGAGATGGTTCATTTTACATCCGAGCTTCAAAGCCATAAAGTCCGACTTGACACTCATGATGCAGTTCTCAAAGAACATACTGAGCGGGGCGAAGCTCACCACCTCCGCATTTCAGCCCTTGAACGAGAAGTGAGAGACTTGAGGGCTGCCTCGCGTTCACCGACACCCCAGAGAGCCCCCCCTTCCCCCAGAGGGAGCAGTCCAAGGAGTGAGCGAAACATCGACGAGGAATTGCAGTTGGCAATTGGGGGCTGGGAAGACGCTAGAAGGGATGAAGCGGTTGAGGAAGCCAAAGCGTTTTTTGAGGCCATGCAGCTTGAGAAGTCCTGGCTCGACATCTGGAGCCCGTACTCGCGTACCTCCCATGTCCGAGTTACCCTGCAGTTCCCCGACAACTGTAAGAACGTTCCCCAGCAGCGAGCCTTTCAAACACAGGTTCTGGACAAACTGAAATCTAAGAAGTTTCTCAGCAACATTCCCGGGCAAGAGTGTAGAGAGCTATGGGTGCAAAGACACCGAACTCCCGAAGACCGTGCAAAGATTCGGGCCATTGTCTCGGTTAAGGAGTTCATCGAGCAATTAACATTTGCACAAGGGTTTACCAAACGCCTGGCAGAGATCGATTGGCGAGGCAAGCTCTTCGTTGGTAACATCAATGTGTTGGGCTCTCCCGATTCGACCGATCCCCTGCAGGACGATGACTTCCCCCTTTCAGATGCGAGGGGTAACCACTCAGGCTGGTATATCAGGGGGGCCGCTTTCACCAAGGCCACAGGTCTCACTTCGGAAAGCCTCCCGGAGCGTTGGGAGACCCGCATCACCAAGCGCCCATAGGGGCGCGCGCCCTGCCATGCACATGTCACGTACATGCGTACCTGGAATCTTCGCGGTAAAACCCTCGAGGACGTTTCAGGATGTTGGGATTTGCTGGGTGGTGAGGGGATCGATTTTTTTGCATTTCAGGAAGTGGGCGGCTTGAAAGAACTCGCTCACATGGGATGGGAACAAGACGAAGTCCATTTGGGCTCATCTTCCTATGCCATTTTCTCCACTTTCCCCCCCCAGAGTTTTCACGGCACCATAGTCGGCATTCCTCTCGACTCGTTGCGGCATGTAATTCAAGTCAAGCCTCTTTTAACTGGTCTGGCTGTGGTAATTAAGAATGCTGGTTGCAAGGAATTCATAATTAGTTTGCATCTACCCCATCGACAAAGGACCGATTGCTCGCAGCTGTGGCAGGAGCAACTGGAACAACTCCGGGGGCTGCTTGACGGGATTCGCCTTCAGGACACAATTACTGTCCTGGCCGATCTCAACCTAGATCTGACCTCGCTCGCTGCTTCGGAGAATGACGACCGTCGAGTCATGCTAGATGGGTTTATGCATCAGTTTGGGCTGCTCAGAACATGCCCCGACAAACACACGTGGTCGAATACCCGCGGGGCGACGTCCCGCATCGATTACGTACTGTTTTCGCAGGGCCTGCAGTCTCTTGTCCTTTCTGAGGTTCTTGAGGGGTCGGATTCCTTGCTTAAAACTGATCACAGATGCTGCACTGCTGGCCTCAAGTTGCAACGCACTAAGTCGTCATGTCGTTTTGCAAGGTATGCTAACCACTCCACAAAGTGCGGTAAATGGCGAGTGAACCTGCAAACTGCACCGGATTTCTGCGTAGCTCTGCAGGAGCAGCTAGAATTACACGGCATGGACCTTGATGAGCGCCACCTACAAAGTCTAGCCGCTCAGGTGTGTTTCCGCCCCAGCTCATTAAGGTATAGGGACGGTCCGGAGATCAAGGCTCTCATTGCGGCCCGCCGACGGGCGACGGGAGCTGAAGCCAGGCAACTGGCACACAATGTGGCCGCAGCCAGAGCGATCGCTAAGAAATCCTGGTTCTCGACTCTCCTAGAGAGAGGTTCAAAGGGAGATTACCATGCGGTGTCTTTCTTTAAACGGAGACAGAGCACTAAGGCGGCCCAAGGAGGCTACATGATGCGAGCTGGTGGCGAACTAAAAGCATCCCAAGATCTCAAGTCCTTCTACAAACGTAAGTACACGCCTGCAGACTTACAACCTCGTGACCTACCCCTTACATTGTACAAGGAGTCTGCCGGCGAGCTCCCCAATGCTGAGCCTTTTTCAGCCCAGGAGCTGCAGGATGTTCTTGGGACTACCAAGGCTGGCAAGAGCAGTGGGGCTGACGGCATTCCATACGAGCTTATGTACTCAATCCTTCAGTCTCCCCTCGAAACCAGCTTTCGTCGTTTTTTTGACTCTGTTCTCCACGGGTCTAGGCCCATCCCGAACTCCTGGCTCCGGTCCCAGGTCGTCTTTTTGCCGAAAATTAAAACTCCTTGCAAGCCTAAGGATCTACGCCCTATCGTTCTCTCTTCTACTCCTGGCAAACTCTTCACTAAACTCCTCCTCTGTCGACTCCGCCCTCGTTTTCCTCCTATGACATCCTGCCAGCTCTCAGGTGCGCCAGGAGCCCAGAGCCTTGATGGCTCGTTGGCCCTCCAACATGCTGTTAGGCAATCACAGCAGTGGCGATTACCGCTGTATGCGGTCAAATTGGATATAGCCCAAGCGTTTGACACGCTATCACATGCGGCCGTGAGCCGCTTCCTCCTGACACTGGGTCCCTCTGTTGAAGCATACTTGCTCCTCACCATAATTTGTAATTCGGTTGCAAGCCTTTCCATGGGATCTGAACATTGGTGCCAGGACTTGTTGCAGGGGGTCAAACAAGGATCTTCTTATTCCGCCGAAATCTTTGCCCGTGTTCTTGACCATTTCGTGTCCCCCACGCTACATCGTTGGAGAGATAGATTTCCGACCTGGCTTCAAGACGCGAGAGGGGTCATGATGCACGCTATTTTGTACGCTGACGACATTGTGTTGCTTTGTCCCTCTCGAGAGGCAGCCCTTGGCATGTTACAGGACATACGCTCGACGCTTCAAGCCATCGGGCTTCAGCTCGCTCTGGATAAGTGTCAGTTTATTTGCACGCCAGGACAAGATACCTCCCCGCTGCTTCCCGACGGGTTTCCCTCGGAACTCGCAATTAAGCACACCGAGGCCTTCATCTACCTCGGCATCCTAATAGGTTTCAGACTGTCTTGTGCGACTGTACTTTCCAGGAGACTGGCAGCTGCCACGAATGCGTTCTGGGCCCATAGCGGTTTCTTGTGCCGAGGCTCCTCGCCCCTGCAGAAGCGTCTCCACCTCTTTGACGCTTTTGTCACGAATAAGTGGAAGTGGATGTCAGCGGCGGTGCGGCCGATCACCGAGGTGTCTAGGCTGTTAGACGTCCTGCAGACTACCTTGGTATCTTCTATGCTGCGTCCCGCATACGACCCCCTTCAGCCTAAACTGGACAATTGGGTCTGTCGACGCAGAGCCACCAGAATGGCGATGCAAGCCGTTGGCCATGTTCGTTGGGCGATAGGACAGGCATCGTGTTTCCTTCGTTATTGGGGGCACGCAGCCCGGTATAGTGTTTTCGATTGGCGCCCTATTACCCGTGTCATCAGCTTTCGAGACGCGGATTGGCTGCTCACCAGGGACTCCACTCGTAGACGCCGAGGTCGGTGGCCGGATTCTGTGCGCTGGATACAGCTTGCATGGGAGTCCTTAGATCGCTTAGGCAACTGGGTTCCACAAGCTGCTGACAGGGAGGATTGGAAGAGTTTTGTTTCGGAATGGATTGAGCGACGCTTCGAGCACACGTCAGGATTCTTTCGGCATCTTGAGTTTGTTGAGTTGCTTGGTCGGTCTCTTCTTCAGATCGGCGACAGGTTCTACCTTCTTCCGATGCGTCATCTACCGGTAGAAACCCCGTACGAACTATCTTACCGCTTTGTTCCAGGCCCCACTCATGAACTCTCCCAGGCTGTTTTCAGAGTCTCAAGCGATGGGAGCTCCTACAAATACAAAGGCGGGGGTGGGATTGCCATTCTCCCCCCGTACGGACGCTTTCCGGAGGATCTTA